TGTGTAATTGTGGAGGAATTTTTGTGTTTTTAAGAGAGAAAAAGAAATATATTTATAAAAAAAGAAGAAAAGGTAATTTACCTTTTTCTATCCGCTAATTGGCCATTTACATAAAGATTTTCGTCAGATAAAGCAAGAAAGTGAAGCGCAACGCCGAAGGAGTGATCTGCAACGCTTTCTGCATTGCTGGGGTGTATGTACCGCAACCAACCTGCTCTTTTCAGGTTTTTTATTTTCCTCCCAAACGCCATAAACTCGGCGATTCCCTCCATTTTTATGAATTATTTACGGTTATTTTTGCATTATTTACCTATATAGTCAAAAAAAAACAAAAAAAAAACATAAAAAATACAGCTTTCCTCGGTGTTTCTTCTCTCGCAATCGATACAGAAACCTGAAACCCGGGCCCCCTAGGATTTCATCAAAGAAAGCAAAACCTCTTCATGGCATAAAAATACAACTTTTAATGCTGAAATAAATAATTCTGAATTCTATTTCATATTTCACAAACTTATGCAACGAATTCCTTTTCTTTGTATCGTCGGGGGGCCCCCAGCGATGGGGGCCCCCCCCACATATAGTATCAACCGTGTGGTGGCTTTGAGGCCCTTCATGCAAAAGTTGTATAATAAAGCAATTTAAATATTATTTCTTTGTTTATATTTCGACAGAAAAAGATAAGAAAAGCGTTGTTCTTTTGATATATTGCTAGTGTACAAGTACAGCTGCTACAGCTCACTGCGGTGTATGTTGAGATCATATGATTGAAATCAAGGTGTATATAAACCCTTTATCGTTTCCTTTTCTTTTTAAATAATTTATTTTAATAAATTAATATAAATTAAATTCCAAATAAACAAAAAAAAACATATACTGCAACCTGCTGCAGCAACCCTTTCAGTTGAGTCAGCTCTCATTGGGGATCGACTCCTTCGGTCGTCTCCCAGCATATATATATACATATATATATATATATATATATATATATATATATATATATATATATATTTACTATTTGTTTTGT